GTATTTAAAATGAAAAAATTTTTCAGTGAATAATTGCATAATTTTAGTTTACTTGCAGCATAGATATAATAATTTATTATACATTAAAATAATAGAAAATTGTAAAAACAGTATATTTACTCTTCCTTCTATTATTTTTGCTTGCTATTGTTTTATGGTTTTAATTATTGCATATTTTATTTATATGTGGGATGCGGTTTCTTTCTCTAATGCTAATTTTATCGCTATTTTAATATTTATTTATGATGACAATCCTGTGATTTAGTAGCATTTTAATTAAATGTGTGTATATATGGTGTTTTAAAACAACATTTGAAGATTGATAAAAGATGACAACCGAAGTGTTTTTGAATCTATATTCGAAAACATGGCTAGTTTAGCTGCTTTAATTTGCGATCGTCTGCCAAGCCTTGAACGTCGTTAATATTGTTTTAATACATATTGTGAATGAGGAATGCAATCCTATATTTTATGCATGTGCAATTAGTCTTTAAAAAATACTACATTAGACTACGCAATATTATTACTAATTGTAAGATATTATTGAGATATGATTGAACATTATGGAGGAATGACTGTAACGTATCTTAACCATGCGTTTAGCACTAAATGCGATTTCTCAGATTTTCTATTTGATAAAAAAGAGAATCGTGTTAAACGTGAAATGTAGATTGAAGAGTCGCATTTGGTATTAAATTATTAATAAATTGAATGTGAAGAATACAAACTACATAAATACTTTGATACTAGTCAATTATAGACTATGTAAAATAGACTTGGGCTACACGCACACACACACACGCACACACGCGCGCGCACACACACACCACACACACACACACACACACACACAACAATTTTATACACTTGTACTAATTGTACATAAATTATTGAAAAACATTAAACAATCCCAGAATGCACACGTATACACATAAATGGCGTTGGAAATTCATTTTACGTATAATGTAGTGCAAAGAACTTTAACAATTAGAGTGTATAATGCCAATTAGTTTGTAATAGTATTATTAAATTAAATATTCTTTACCCGAGAGTGTAGAAGAATCGTATTGCTGATGGATTGTGCTTGAAAACTGTCAGAACAACCTTCAGCATCTGATTCCGACTTGCCATGGATTCCAGGGCAGACATCATAAAACGGCCGAGTCCTTGGCGTCTGATCGATGGTTCCAATTGTAATTCATAGCTGTAGATGTAAGTTCTCATCGTACAATTGAGTTTTATTTTTTCACACATGTACATAATATACGTACCAATATAATACTACATCGCCATTGTCGACGTCAAACCGAAAATGTGAAAAGCCTAAAAATTTATCATTATACGATGCTATCAAATACCATGCTGTTTCCTCTGTCAATTCCGTTTGTTTCTCAGATGCGTTCCATCCCCAATTGGACTCTTCGTACATATCCTTCATGTTTCTCTCCATAATATCAAAAATCCAAGAGAGACATTCCTCTTGTGCATCTTTCGCCCTGACACAGGAAAGCTTTATCGTGCAATCGTCTTTCGTGTTATATTCGTGAAATATTTCTAAAGCCGCTAAAGGATCCTTCAAAGCATTAGCCTTGTTGATTAACTGCTGTTGCACCGCTGCTTTCTCAGCTAAAAGCTGACGCCTCGTCTTCCTAGCTTTTTTCTGTAAAAGAAAAACAATTGTAAAGTTAATTAAAAATTCCTTCAATAATTCAGAAAAATGTTTAAAATCGAAATTGAAAAATTGACCTGCATAATTGATTCCTGAATTTCCCGCCTTTTTTTCTTCAGGTTATACGCGAGAGATACTTTATGGTTTTAACAATTTGATTATTTCTTATGTGCTGTAACAAAAAAGAAAGAATTACTATTCTTTTGATAATACTTTTATAAGCAAGTAAAATAAACAATCTGCTCAATATATTTTCATTCATCAATAAATCATCTAATTATTCTTACCTTATTCTGGCACTGCAACAAATATATTTGCAGTTTAAAAAGTCTGGTGTATTGTATTTGCAAGCAGCAAAACAACTTATATCTCACAACGTGAGTCTCGAAAGTAAATATTTCACTTTTGCGGACACGCGTTTGGTCGACCCACGCTGTCTTGTCTCGCCTAGAAGGAAGGAGGATCGTCTACCAATCACGACTGATGGTCTCTGCGACGCAATGGCCCACCACTCCCGTCAGAGATCAGAGATCAGAGTTGATCTGGAGCATCTGGAGTGCATCGCATCTTATTTGATTCCACTGCGTTCGGCTATGTGACAATATTAAGATGAGCGTGTTAAACAGCGGCTGTACTTGGGAACGAAAATGAGCGGTGACTGAGCCTGAAAAAATTTGCGTTGTTCGTCATCGTGCAAGGAGTACAGCAGCAGTGTTTAGTGCTGCAACACAATTCGTGTTTGGACGTTGGAATTCGCGTGAGTATTCGCGTGTTTCATCTAGTATCAGCTGCGGTTTAACTCTTCGTTCAAGATGCTGTCTTTCATTACGGCACTTTCTTCCCGTTTGACATAATTGTGAATGTCTTTGTCTCGATTGATGAACTTTGACATCTCGCATGTAGGTTAAGTACTTAATCGCCTGTTACATTTAATTTGTCCGCTGGTATTTGTGTGTTTAATGATCTGCTGCATAGTCACTTCATTTATGTGATGACATGTGTCGATGACCTGTTACGTAGAGTTATCGCGTATATATGTACATACACGTTGGCATTTGCATCTTATCAGATAGTCATACTTTCTACATTTAGATTCTCTGTGTAAACATCTCCATCTGTTTGATTTACAAGTACAAGAAACGCCGCGTTAGCACCAAGTAGATTGAATTTATATTTAGCTCGTATCTCACTCCGAATTATGTTTCTTCAGAGCATATGTGTGCCTTCTAAAAATAGTCCACACTCGATTGCCAACAAGACGTCAGCTGTGTTCTTATTTTGTAATAGAGTGATAACATATTTGTCATTTTCAATAAAACAATGTTGATAGTTGAATACTCTTCAACTGTTCTCATTTGATATTCACTATTACTTTTCTATTTCAGCTTGTTACTTGACAGAAGCTTAAAGGAATGGCTGAAGAAGAGAAAGCTGTTCCCTCATCCATGACCCAATGCTATGAAAACTACATTATAGTCGATGTAGGTGCCAATCTAACAAATAAGAAGTACAGCCGGGACCTGGATAGTGTAATACAAAGAGCAAAGGATGCAGGTGTGCAGAAGATTATGGTGATAGGAGGCAACATTCGTTCCAGCAAGGAAGCGCTCAGGTTAACTAGAATATATCCGGGAACTCTGTACTCTACCGCCGGCGTGCATCCGCATGACGCCAAATCCTGGGAGGATCCGGACACTCTACACGAACTGGAAAGTATAGCCAAGAATCCAGAATGCGTCGCGATCGGGGAGTGTGGCTTGGACTACAGCCGTGACTTCTCCGCTCCGGAAGCGCAGCGCGCAGTGTTCCACAAACAGATAGAATTAGCCTGTATATTGAATAAGCCATTAGTGATACATGAAAGAGGTGCACAGAAGGATGTGCTAGAAGTACTCGGTCAGTACAAGAACCGTCTGCCGCCCATTCTAATACATTCTTTTATCGGCACCGCGGAAGAGGCACAGACTTACCTGGATAAAGGCTTTTACCTGGGCATCACAGGCTACTTGTGCAAAGACAAGTCTGACAGCAGTGTGAGACAGTTGTTGGAAGGGGGACAGGCGCCGTTAGACAAGATCCTGGTAGAGACCGACGCGCCGTTTATGTATCCTAATACCAGAGCCAGCAAATTACCCGCATACGTGAAGGACGCTTTGACTGAACGATCCATGACATTTCTCCATCGTTACTGTACCTTTCAACGTAACGAACCGTGTGCATTGCCGGCGATCGTGGAAATGGTGGCGGCGTTTATGCGAACCACACCAGAACAGGTCGCGCTAGCTACCGCTTTTAACGCTTTAAAATTATTTGGTTTAAATCAATGATAATAATATTCGGATTTCCCAAGATGAATGTGCGAAATGGTGCTAGTAGGTGCTAAACAAGAGTTTAATTGCAATTTTTATCGGGTGATGCTTCACACACAGTTGAAATCATAAAATGTTTCTTTATCAATTGATTTCTTTTTATATATATATTACAAACGGTAGCTATAACATATTTTATATAAGACGAATTGATTTAAGGGATATTTTGCTTCATACAAAATGAATAATATTTGTATTTTATCCGTATAAATATACTATTCATTTACATGTACAAAATATTTTTACGATTATATTAAGATGGATTTTGTCAATTTTTCTTCGTGTCTCAACTTTTTTTGTAAAATGTTGATAAAGTTAAAATCCAGTATTATACATTTTATTGTTGATGTATCATAAATATTTTCATACGAATAAATTGTTACATAGATTACTTGTCATTTTTTTGCGATAAATTATATTTTTACTGTTAAAGGCAAAAAAATGTAAATTTAGAAGAGAATTAATGAATCTATTTATGTTAGCTATTAAAGTGAGTACAGTGCTTTGCTCTTTATATTTTCAAAATATATATATATATATATACATATATATATATTTTTTTACTGTATATTTATATTTATATACATTTGATTACAAAGTATTCTAATTTACAGAGACTGAAAAATCTTCGCACTTTAGTTTTATAGCTTGCATCAGATAGGGAACTCTTTCGTACTCTGGTAGCTTCATCCAAGAACTAGAATGTATGGCAACTGTGTTGGAATTTATCAATACTTCCGCGGACTTTATTCTTAACGACCATGTACTTTTTAATCTTTGTGAATTCACAGCGTACGCAGTGTCCGGTAAATTGAAGATGAGTATTCTGAAACATAACGTACGCATCAACGACGGTGATTTAAACAAAGTCAATTATGATGCGTTAAATAAACTGGGAATATTCTTACGTTTGACTCTCGCTTGGAGTTTGTATATCTTCAACGTAGTTTATGTTCATTTTATCGGGTGCCATTGTATTAATTGCAATAGGATAGCCCCCTTTTCTCATTACAACAACATGATCTAAAATAATTAAAGCTTTAGAATGACAAATTTCACATTGCTGCTGAATTGAAATGACTCGAAGCTCATAATTTCTCATATTTATTACTCGGAAAAACACTAATTTGTTCTCACAACTCACCGATGTGATGCCCCAGTTTTGTTTTCAAGTTATTGTGAATATATAGAGGACCGCCTAACGCCAATTCTAACGCCGCTTTCAAGGAAAACGTGGGCATTATCGGATCAAGATTGGTAATGTATTCGAGTGTGTCTTGCGACGGCCACGGTCCCTCATACATAGGATACAGCGTCTTAATGCTTTGATATAAAAGCAACATTTCTCTAGCCAGAATATCTGTGTATGCTTCCTCATTATTTTTTATATTATAGGAGAAGACCTTACTGAGTAAGCTCGGGCTATAACAATCTAATGCGGTCAAATACAAAGCAAATCGAATTATAGATTTGCCGGTTGATTTATTTTCCACTTGATTCGCCAATATCGCATCTCGTATAGTATCCCAAAATACCGGCTTGTAATCGGCATAAATAAAACCTTCTAAGAAACTGAACAGTTTTATATAGGTTGCATCTTTCAGTAGATCTGGCTGTTCGAAGCATTTTGCTGCCAAATACTCCAAGAGGGGTATATGTGCATAATTTAGATTATTCAACAGTTTGAGTAAATGAATACCACTGTGGAAATTGATATCCGAGGACAATGCTGAATTGACGAGAGCATCCACCAATGCTTCATTGTAGAATTTGTATCCATGTGTTTTGCTGTAACAACAATACATTGTTAAAAATGTGCTATCTTTTCACAGCGTTAGATATCAAGACTCCTGCTTCCTCAAAAGAAAATGAAAAAGAAAAAACTGACTCAACACCGTAAGAAAAAAGTTCACGCAACTTCTCGCTTCTAACATTGCAGCTACAGTAAAGAAAACAGGAGCCTCGATGTAAGAATCTTCTGATACATACTTCATTGCAACGACAAACTGTAGACTGCTGAGCGTCTTAATTATCTTTGTGATACTAAATTCTTTTGCGTTAGTTATAAGAATCTGTTGTATATTGGCCAATACATCAAAAGCTATTGGAGGTAGATAAGAAACTTGACATAAATTAAGAAAGATAGACCAAGCTGTTTTTGGAGCTATATTATTTTCATGCATCAGCAATGATTTGAATAATATATTGTATACTTCTTGATTTTTTATATTAAATTCATTTATAAATCTTATCGACCAGTTTAAGATAGTTACATCATCCGATTGTAGTTTAGTGAAAAAATGTGTCTCAAACACCAGAGGCAAAGCTATCAGCAGAGCATCTCTCAACGGTGTACTATCCATCTTTTTTAATAGAAAAACTGTAAATATTATTTCATAAAGAGACATCTCATTTATGTTTGCGCGAATCATTTGCAGCAGAGACTGAATTAAAACGCTGTTGCTAGGAATATTTAAAAATGATAATATTTTCAGAATTTCGATAATATCATGTCTTTTCATGTCTCTGATATTTCTATTCAGTACATCACATAGGTTTATAAAGCCTGTGTGCGTTTCGACTTTCTCTGTATGCTTCATATGTATGTCTTTATATGTATATTTAGATATATCATACAATGCAGACATTGTACTAACAGCTTCACGCACAGTCATGTTTGTAGATTTCTGTGCAGCTTTGTCTAATATTTTCATAAATTGATATGGTAATTTGGCGCTCTTTATTAATGGTTGAGCAACATCTTCCAGCTGTGTATAATCTGCAAAACAGTTATTATTGATGTAGTATGCTTACATTAAAAATGTGTCAAAAGCATTGGAATACCTGTCAAACTACATGTTCGTGACATGCTCTGCATCGATTGTAATGGCGTTATATAATTTGAAAGAATGGTCCAATTGCGTGCTACTGGATATAATCGAAACAATCTGTTTAGAGTCCTGTCCATTCTATATTCAGTGATTGCTGTAAAAATTATAAAATATATTAAGGTCCAACGCACAATAGAGAAAATATAAGGAATAGGAAACAATTCAAATTTCCTATTCCTAATATTTAATATTTATTCCTATTCCTAATATTTTCTCTATTGTGTGTTGAGCCTAAGAAATTTGAATGAGTGATGAAAGACAATTTGATAAATAAATAAAAGAAAATTTACCTACCAGATGGTCATTAATTTCTCATTAATCCGTATTTAATTATAAATATCATCCGTGACACATTGCTGTATTAATGCAGCAGTATTTTCCAAATAACCGGCGCGTTATCTTCCAAATAAAATATAGAAGGTTAGACGCTCTTGGATATTTAGATTTTTTTATAATTATATTATTATCAATATTTATCTTGTAATTTGAGAAATAATTGACAATACTAATGACCAAAAAAATATAGAATCGATCAAATAAACAATAATTTATAATTTTCAAATTGCATGAACACACTTGAGCACGAGCATAAGCACAGTACACAGTACACAGTACACCACACACACACACACACACACATACACTGTAGCAGCATCAGCGACATTAAACGACCAATGTCGCAAACTAATGAAAACAATAAGTAGAATCCATAATGTAGAAATCTATTACCAATAAAATAAAGATCTATATTATCCATGAATTCTTAACTAAGTAGTTTATAGAAGTGCCGTAAAGTTAATAAAGCGTGAGCGTAATTATAAGTACAAATATCAGTTATGATACGATATGTCAAAACCTTTGCCACAGCGTATAATAGGTTACATTCATGTAAAAAATCCAACTGATAACGCTATCCATTTTCGTAATATTGCTTTATATCATGTTCCATTATATTTCTACGCGTTGATATTTTCTTTTTATATCCTACAAAGTATACGATAGTATAATAAAGAGTGTGTTATTGGATCTTGCAAAAGACTGACAACTAGACAGAGAAACAGAAAGAAAGAATACAAAATGTGATGAGCAAAGTGATAAATGTGGTACATCACGTAAAAGCCTCTAGAGAGAAATCATGTCAAAACAAACAGGAACGTTGGAATTGAATAAATGCATTTCGTCCCGACTGTGGTACACATCTCTGAATGCTTTTCAAATAAACAATGATAACAACTTGAAAGAACTCCATCACAATTGCTCTGTCGATTTAACGGAATTAGAAGATGTAATCGAAAGTCTGATGTAAGTGAATGATTTCTTATCAATTGCGCATTGTAGTTTTCTTTTTACATTTTTTATGATGCATATTTATATGCAGACATTCTCCAAATGAAGAGCAATACCAATGGATCGCCTATACATTATTGTGGAAACTTGTGGCCAACAAGTCGTCGAACGTCGACTGTAACATACATCGCAATATTCAAACACAGCTTGATTACATACAAGTGAAAAATGCCTTTGATCTATGTGGCGATATATCAGATTATTTATATAAGGTATTTTCATAAATTTGTTTTTACAATTTGTAGCATGTTTTTTAAAGAAATTAAAATAAAAGGCCAAACAAGATTTCTTTAAACAAAACTTATCTTTCAGGAATTATTAGTATTTCTTCAGAATACAAGTATAAGCCATAACACGAAAGAAACTTTAGGCAGTATATCTCAAGAGACTCTTGCATTCCTGAAAGAAAATATACTTGTTCATCCCAATATTGTGTGTTGGATTATAAATAAATTAATATCAGCAGCCTCAAATGCATGCGATATTGCCAGTGATTTACAAAATATATATTTTTCTACATTGAAATTGTGTCTAGAATACATTCCAGTTAGAAGGAATTGGTACTCCAGCCATGAAGCATTTGAAACCTGTTCTTCGCAAACTAATCCAGTTATTCATGGCAATCCTTTACAAACTATTCTGTGTCTTTTGTCAAAAATGGAGATAGATACAGATGCAGAAATTGAATTTCTAAAAATGATTTATCCCACGCTTTCAAAACTGCATCATGTTAAGGATATTGAACTTGCATTATATTCACGAAAAAATGAGAAACTATTCATCGCATGGTTGACACTTTGTAATGAAACACACACGTGTGCTGAAAGTGTTACTACTTTATCCACAGCATATAAAATTAGCGAAAGTATATTTAAATTAACAGAAGATTCCAAGATACTTTTGTGCCAACGAGAATTGCTTAAAAAAATATGTATCAGGAAACTACACTGGTTGAAAGATATTTTGGTAAATTTGATATTTTAAGCATTTTTTTTTACTTTAATCGATTAAACTATTTATAATGCTATTACAACAAATTTGTATGTTTCAGGACATATGTCACATTTTAACTATGAAAAGGAAATATAGTGAAGTTGAATTATTGTTATCAAATGATTTGTTAAAGAGATTATACCCAATTTTATTATTTAAAATACTAGACAATTGTCCAGAAGAAGAACTGAATTCGCTTGAAAGTTGTGAGAATGGCATTTTTATCTGTGAATCTATCAAATTTCTCTTAAAGAAATGTTATCCTGATTTACATAGTGATTACAACTTAGAAAAGTTATATGTGCTTTTAAAAAGTCACATTAGAATTGTGGAATATATTTTACATTGGAAGAAAAGATATTTTACAAGAGTGAAATTGGATACTGAGGAACTAAAAAGTTTGAAATCTGATGCAACTGAACAAACAGTGTCTGTGAAGCAAATTCTTTCTCTTCTGCAAAAACATAATGTACTTTCGATCCTCAACATGACAACAAATGTACATGATCAGGATCACAGTGCCATTCAAAATTTGTTAAAGGATTCTTCTCAATTTGAAACCTTTCAGGCATATTGTTGCATAGTAAGTGCTTTAAAAGCTATTTTATTAGGCGAGTTTTACAACACAGAATGTAAACAGATTGCTGAATATTTCACTGACATGGTATCATATTTATCTTCCTTGTTCCCACTGATATTAAGGATAGAAACGATGGAGTGCATATTTTCATTATTATTCTTGCGTTATGAAGATTTTGCAAATGCCAATTCCAAAGATGACAATTGCGATATATCGCTTGAAAACATGGGTGTCAATAAATCAGCAGAGCATGAAAAATCTGGTTTTATAGCTAATAAACATATTATAAGAGACACGTTGCATCATCTATGGGAGTGTATTTTAGTCGCAATACAAGAGATTGATAAACAGAAAGAGCTTGGACGGCACGTGGAGGCGGAAAAACTTTGCGAAAGCATATCTATTCTTAAGTTTGCGATGATGGATGCACGATGGAGATTGCAGTTTTACGCAAGGCCTCATTTTATCGAAAACGTCGGTATTCCACAAAATGAGTCTGATCATATTTTTGTTACGAATGAATCGGACTCTGTAATCTCGCCGAAGCCAAGTTTTCCATATCGCATAAAGGAAGACCTGTTCTTTTACAAAGAAGATACAACATCGGATGAGACGAAAATTAAATCCGACAGCAGTTCGGAATCTGGCTTATTGAGTAGCAGCACCAAACGCAGAAAACGTTCCAAACGCACTATAACTATGGCGGATTCTTCGATGATGAAGGATAAACCATCCTTGATCAATTTAATGTTGGCCTCGAAAGAAAGTTTGGTCTTGCATTGTTTATGGAGACGCGATCTTCGAAAGGCACAGGAAGTAATCGAGGTAATATCGCTTTGTGTAATAGTGCATGTATATAATTATTATGCCTTTTTCTTGAAAATTAGAAATCAAAACAGAGCAAATAGCTCGACAATTGGCAATTGTGCCTCTATGACTTACCGATTTTTTCAATTAATACTTTATACATTCATTATCGCAGCTTCGAATGTTTCGTATGCGTGACGCTCGTATTCAGTAGCTTCATATTTAATAGGCTCTCTCACATCTTCCTCTTTCTTCAAATCCTTGACAAAAATGCCAGGTGGATTCATCGTGTAATATTGTTTGGCAGATAAAATCCTCTCTCGCGGAAAGCAGAATTTACAACGGAAACAGCAGCAGCACCATCCTGAAATATAATACATATTTTATTAGTAAAATGAAATAATACGCGATATCAATAATAATTAATATCAGTCGTATTAATTTCATAACAATTAAAAAAAAAGTGTTTTTCTACAGAAACACCGTGGCTGATAACTTACCTCTTTGACACCAGCAGGGAATCGCTAGGCAAAAGTAAATCAACAACCAAACTCTGAGAACTAACCACGTCCTCGATAGGACTTTCTTCATAGTCGCCACATCTTTCGTACGCCGATAATCGTATATGAGGCATTCTATCGCTTTAATTCCGATCTGACTCAACTCTTCCTTCGTACAGTTCTTGGGTCGTTTCAGGTCTATTATTCTTTCCAACGTTTTTTTTGGCGTGTCTTCCAAGTCTTCTTTTTCGGTATAATTCAATGCTTTTCCATGCCTTATGTCGTAATCCAGCTGCTGTTCGTATTCCATCTTGAACTTTTCATAATCGTACGGCTCTTCGTAGGGACTTTCGGTATCTACGAGAGTTGATTTTTTGGTCAAAGGCCAATTCGGAATATCTTCACTCGTGGTTTCTTCACTGTATTCGTACGTGTCATATTGCATATGCGTCGTTTGCGCTTCCCCAAAGTGTACTGTCTCATTCCTGTCTCTTATCACTTTGAAAAAATCCATCTCCTCACCCAACGTCGTCTCATAACTATCCTCTATCTCATCGCGTTTTGCTCTTTTCACTCTTTTTGCATTTTCATCTGTGTATTTGCCGGTAAAAGAATGTCCTTTGTATTTTTCTCCCTTTATCGTACAAATATTTATTAACGTATGACACAACGCGGACTTGTCGCGTGCATTTTAATTAGTACCTGCATTTGTCGCACTATTTCTTTTCAGATTCTGGAAAGTCCGCTTCGTGGACTTGGTGAAATACTAATTTAAAAGATAGATTGAATACAAGAGATTTTATGAAAAACTTTGAAATGAATGAGATGCTTACTTTGTTTAATTCACGCTTGAAGCCAGCAATAAATGGTTTGTCTTCTCGCTCCAAATTAAATATCTCTTCCGCATACGGTTGCAAGTAGGGGAGTACATTCGAAAACTGTTTTTTATTTTCAACATTACGCTCGTTGTAATACTTTACATGGGAATGTAACGGTTTGTATCTGTCCTCGTCCTCCGTGAGTTTCAAATCCGCAAGATCGGCCGATTGAATCATTTCATTTTCGCTCTCCTCGTCATAATTCATATCGTCCAATGCGATCTCAAACACTTTTGTATCCCGCACATCAATCTACAATAATTATAATTTTAATTGAAATATTACAACGTTTAAATCATAGAGTAGAAAAAATTTATTCCAAGTGCTTAACTGCATGAGAAAGTGCTTGCAAGATACGAATCTGGATTATCAATAGAAACACTGTTGCTTTTTGATACAACATTTTATTTTTGGAGTCGTAATTTCGTCGTAATTTCGTTTATTTTGTTTCTCAGATGTTCCATATGGAAAACACGCAATTAGATGGCGAAGTTCGATTTTCGGAAGCGGTTCATACGTTCAAAAAGGATACGTTAAAATATGTTTGTACTCTAGATACAACAGACTCTGCTAAAGAAAATTTAACGACTTCCACTTTAGAGGTGAGATGTCGTATCATAGAAATTCCTAAGCGTCATAGATATAAAATGTTGTGACTTATTTACAGAATATAAGACTGGCTGCACAAGAAGGTGTACAATCCTCCAGACACATCAATCAACTCGAGACATTTCTCGCGTCTCAGGAGGCAAATTTGCGGATGTTAAATACGGATATTCTGAATAGCACCGAGATGCTGACTCTCAGCGTGCTCGATCTGAGTCTAACTACAGGGCACACGTATCAGATCTCGAGTAATCTCTGCGATGTGGCCATGAAGTACTTGAAATCGTGTAAAACATTTGATGGCACGGAATACACGAGTTTGTTTTCAAAAATCTATCAATTGTTTTACGAAAACAAGAGTAATATGTCTGTGACTGATATACTGTGTGATGCCAGAATTCCATTGTCCGTGAAGGAATGGAGAGAAACAAACGCGATTTGGAACGACTTCGAGAATAATTATTGCACCTTCAAAGACTTTGAAAGAACGAAGATAGCCGAGTCGCAATCTCACAATAATAATTGTACTCTAGGATTGAAAGTGATAAAGAAAATGTCGAATATTTTTAATAACGATCAAAAATATCTTCAAAATATTTATTCTCATTTGCAACTTGTGTGCACCATTATTCCGGGAATCAGTAAGTTTGTTCATTTAGCTCAAAGTTAAAACTAATTAATCAATAAAGAAATACAGAAATATAAATAACAAATATTGTACCAATAATATCTAAAATTTCTTTGTTCTAGATGATGCTAATACGCAAACAGTGTCTGATTTATTAAAGACGCCGTTGCATCGATATTTCGGACACCAGATTTTCGACCTGGAGACGGAGCCGGATAAACTCGAAACGGTCGCTGCCAATTTGCAAGTAAACTTGATGTACAGTATTCTTGTAAATGCATGTCCAAACATTTTTTCTTACAACGAAAGGAGCTACAGGAATATCAAGGACTCGGGCTACATTATACTGAACCAGAGTGAAGATAAATCGGTACGAATCGTATAATACATAAAAAAAAATGCAAGACAAAATAAATATTGAATTTTTTAAACAAAAAATACTCCCTTAATAACATACAATCTACTCAGAATATATCATATTTGCAGAGTGTAAAGAACGTCACAGTTAAAGGGCCGAACCAATGCGTTTCAGAGATATTGACAGAACTCCTGCTGGTTCTGCACAGTGTAAGTTTGGGACAATCTCGCCTAGACAATTCGTGCTTAAAAAATATTTCGAGGCGTGCGGACGTGCAAACGGTGCTGAGTAAGACGTCGAGCTTCGTTACTCTCGATCTCAGCGAATTATCTGTGGGAGACGAGACGCTGACGTTCTTTTTGAATCTCTGGAACATAATGTTCCTTCACGCAAGTTTGGACGTGTGGTCCAACGATCCGCCTGTCGACAGCTTGAGGCGCGCAGTCACTCTGATGTCGATCGGCTACATGGTCGGCGATCTCGGCCTGGTGACACTCGCCGCTCTCAGATCCAAGCTGCTGGGCGGCCTAACGAATGACTTTGAGTTTTTCACACGGCTCGAGGAGCTCAACGAATTGGCGTGGCAAGACTTAGATCTCATGCAGAACCCGAGAGTCATCTTCGCCATGGCTAACGAGCTTTACGGCACGCCTGAGATTCGCGTAAGCTACGCACGAATTAATTATTACGCCGAGATATAAGCGTACAACCGATGGATCTGACCGATGTGCTCAATATTGTAGGTGTACGAGACACAGACGTTAAACGAAAGCTTGAACGACGCGGTGCGCGATTATATCACTCATTACTCGTCGGCGTCGCTTGAGAGTTCTGCAGGTAGCCCGACGACGAAACGGAAGATCAGCTTGCCTCACCTCGTGCGGCAGTATCGTAACGCGTTTTCACACAATGCCGAGATCGGTGCGACAAATGCTGACGGGAGTCCGGCTCCGATAGATGGATTCCAAGTATTAAACGAGGATGTGGAATATATCGCATCCAATTATACGTATGAAGTAATATTAAAATATTCCGAACACAATCTAGTGTCACAATCTAGAATTACAGATACCGCGGAAACGTCACTTTGGCAAACTCGAACATTGCGACCTAGCTTGCTGCAGTATCTGGAAAACCATTGTTGGCTGCTCTCTTATCTTGTACAGAGGATGCACAATGAAAACCCGACCATTTCGGAGAACAGCTGCGACAATATAGAACGCACCGCGTGTCTCGAAAATCTCCTCAATTCACCGTGGATTGATAAGCTGAAACCGTTGTTCAAGGACAATCAAACTCTCACCGCTATGCACGATGGCACGATACCTGCGCAAGAGTTGTGGCGTCATTTTCAACTCGAAGGGGAAGATGGTAATTGGCAAAACTCCTTGGAGACTTTAAACGCTTTGGCTGACAGCGTTGTGAGATGCGACACGGAGCTGCAGCGCTTCAAAGATTTAATTCTGAGTCACGTGCTCTCCAATCCGGGCGTTCTATCTGTCACAAAAATGCTGCAGCATTTGTATCAGATCAAGGATATACATATATTGGCGCAGACGATATTGCACAATGTTAACAAGTGGCCCATGAATGTATGCGAGCACGCGTTGCTTCACGCGTTGCAGCACGAAGATAATCACAAGCTGCCAGCACACTGCAAGCATCGGATGAATGGCGTCTTGTGCAGAATAACGATTTTCCACAAGATGGTCCCGTACTGCGTGAGTAAATCGAACAGCACGTGGCACGACGTCGTGTATTGCACAGAGAGGGTCGATTCGTTCGAGATCATCAAGTCCTTGGTCATCGCGGATCAGTACGAGTTGTGCTTGGAATGGCTGGAGTGCCAAGCATTCTCTCTAGAGATACAACCCATCGTGATGCAAGACTTTTTGATCGGTCTTTTGAGAAACGAGCAGCAAGAATTTGAGCAAGCTTTAAAGGTATACATCTTTGAAATATTTTTCTCTGAAAAATTTCATAATAAGTGTAATATTTCAGTTTCTTCAAGCGTTGCCGTCGAGTCAATCGGTGAAGCTGTGCAAGGAAGTTCTGAAAAAGTTGGAATCCACTAGTGCGTTGCAGTTCGTCGCCAACTACTTACTCGAACACTGCAGAGCGACGGAGCAAGCGAAATATCGGAAGACTTTAGTGGGAGTCGAAATCTTGAAAATACTGGAAAGCAAAGACAGAGTGCTATATATCCATTTGATAAGAGAACCGTTGCTAATGTTGGAGCAATTGTTGATGAATTGTAAATTTGAAAGTATTCAAAAGATTGTGAACACATTACACGAGAGTTTACAGCATCTCGATGTAGGAATCCGCAATTTTGACATAATTATACGATTTTACGCCAAGAAAGCGCTCGACTTTCGCGTATCGCTTCAATGCGACAGCGTCGAGAGTAAAACCAAAAATATTCCACCGGTTAATCTCGATGCGGAAAACAACGAGTTTGTTATGCCTGTTAATGTGCCCACTAAGGAAGAATGGGTGCCCAACGATAGGGTAATTCTCCTAAAGCAATTCAATAACTTGTAAATCTTCTTTCAGCCAAATTGGCTTTAAAATTATTCGAAATGAAAATACTTGATCCTTATTTCGATTACATTCCAGTTATCACGGTCGTATGATAAAACTGTTTCTTCGTTTCAGGCGAGAGAATGCAGTTGTTGCGAGGCTGTAATATTTTCCATGTTCAATAGACGACACCATTGTCGGCGATGCGGTCGCGTCGTTTGCGCCGTGTGCTCTCAGCATCGCATGCAGGTCGCCGGTTATCCCAGTTCCGTGCTGGTACGCGTGTGCGACGATTGCAAACGTCAAACGGTACTGCAGATGCGCGCAGCGCAAGACGCCCCGTCGACGTCCAGCAGCGAGGTGTTCGATTACTGGCGATTGACGAGAGACGAGAAACACAATCGTACGATAAGGGAAGAGTTCTCGTTCGAGTATGCGCCAAATATCTCGCTCTGTCTCGCTATCCTCAACTTGCACTCCGATCACAAAATGTATACCAGGTATATGATAACTTTCAAATTTAGTTTAAAATGTAGAATTACTACATTAAAATAATCTTAAATTTTGATTTGTTGAAAAAACGAAATAATAACAGTGATGTATGTATCACACAGCTTTTTGCTAGACCGTTGCGACGAAATGAAGGAATTGCTCCAACCCTATAGCGGTGGCAGAATAAATCCGGAAGTCGATCACGCGGTGATCATCAAAATGATACGCTCTCTATTGGTCGCGGTTAAGGTGAAATGCGCTAAGCTCGGCTTCAACACCGGGCTCGCGCATTGCGATCGCTTCCTCTCGCAGGTGGATCTCATCGCGACCCTGGTCCGATCTGATTGTCTGGCTCTCATACCGTCGGACGATTTGGACGAGCACACGCTACGGAAACTGCGCGATCTCCTCACCGAAAAGGAGCAGTGGACATTAGCGCTGGACGTCAGCACGAAAGCGGGGCTGGATACGCAAGGTGTGTGGGCTGCGTGGGGAAAGGCTTGCCTGAAGGTGGGATATCTGGACCAGGCGAGAGAGAAGTTTCATCATTGCCTCGACAAAATTGTGGAAAACGAAGATTTCGGTGATTGGGTTGTTCTATCCAAAGAATCCATGTCTCCGATCAAGACGAAAGAAATACATTTGGATGAGAAAAGAAGAGCGAGCGAAGCTAGCGGTCATTCGAAGAGAAATGAGCATCTCAAGTGCCGGCCGCTCAAAGATCCACCGTTACTTACGGAAATTCTGCAAATACTAGATAACTTGAGCGTGCACCGATTCCGAACGCAATATCCGTCTCAGTCTAAACCCGACGCGGCGCAGGAAATCTTGCAGACGCTCAACAGTCTGAAAGCTGTTAGTCAAAATCAGTTTAACGCTAAATATCTAATTCCCGCCAATCAAACGGTTTACTATCAGGAGAATCTGTACTACCTATTGACATACGGAAGCCACAGCTCTATCTTGCAGTTCTTCCTGAAGCATGTAGAATTCGATAAATGCCTGGCGTATGTTTTGGAGAATGATTTAGAATGCGACTTATTTCTCAATGGAGTTTACTTGTATTGCTTGAAGAATGGCGACACCGAGAGGCTTCACGACGCAATGAAGGCGAAGGATTCCGCTCTACTCATTTGGAGGAAGTACTTGATATCTGTCTGTCACTTTATGGAAAGGAAACAATATTGGCACATCTTGTATCAGATACAGCTCTTCATGAGAGATTGCGTAAGAGCATCGATGACATGTATCCGTTTTTACATCAATGAGACGAACACTTATTCAGATCTACACCACAAGGCGCATCTGTTGCAAGACGCGCAAAAACATTTGGAGTCAGAATTACATATCGAGAGTTTGAGCAAAAGAAGAAAGAGCACGAGCTCCGTTCAAAGCGACCAGGGTGTTCTGGAGATAGAGCCGTCGAAGATAGACAGGCATATAAATACCATATGCAGGCAGATGGAAATTGCGAAATTTCTGGCCAACTGTGAGAGAGAAGAAAGAGCGGCAGCCAAATTTTTAAGCCTCTTTCCGGACATCGATAGCGATAGCTCTCAGACACCTCAGTTGCCTACATTATTTGGCAATCAACAAGAAAAGATACACTTGGCTGTTCTAGCTATATTGTGTGGCCGTGACATCGGCGAAGGATTTGGCATAGCTTTTAGAATAATGCAAGGTGGGTGATGCAGTTTCGCATTTGTGTGACTTTTCTCTCCTATTTTTGCACTATGTAAATAATAAATTTAAACATAAAAGAACAAATAGCAATTGTAAATTTTTATTATAGTAAACTAATGGCTTGACAATATTGCACTGTTGCAGATTATAATCTTCCTCAGCAGAAGGTGTATTCTTTGGCTGGTCATGTGTTAGCTTTAAAAAATAACGTAGCTGCGATTGAGCAATTGATCAAGTGCTGCCGCAGCTCTGGAACGCCTAATGCCCATATCGTTTCCGATCATGTCTTAACGCATTGCGTAAAATTATTATTGAGCCGTTCGTATAGCGAACAGAATCCAATTCTTAAAAACCACATAGATACTTTAATCAGACTGATAACTGATACGGAACTTAGAGTAAGATAACTTTCGATTACATCTATACTCCGAAAGACTTAATGCATTGTTTATGTATCTTATAATGCTCTTTTTTTCAGATAAATGCGTATATTGAAAGCAAACAATTAAAGGCTGCATATCTACTTGCTGTTAAACATTCTAGAGCGCAAGATATAAGAAGAATTTTGAAAGAGTCAGATAGGCTTGGTCAAAGTGCGATTAAAGCAATATGCTTGAAATGGTTGCAACAAGAACCGAAAAAATAATCTTTCAAATTTGCTTTACCGAAAAACAAAACTGCGAATCAGATAATGTATATAACCTAAAGATTAGAATAAATAAGTTGTTTTTTTATATAAGCAATATTTAAAGAAATAATATATTTAATTGCATATAATAAAGTTTTTTATACTTATTTCAAATTTTTGTATATATTAACACACACACACACACACACACATACGCACACGCGCGCGCGTGCTCGCTCGCTCTCTTTCTTTCTCTCTCCCCTTCAGATAAATAAAAAAATTTAATTTTTACATTCGAAATTATAGAAACTATCTTTCTTTTTATCGTTTAAAAATTAAAGTTTATTAAGTTCCTAAAAGATACAAAAAAACACAAATAGATCTCTAGGGTCTGAGTTCTGCACATTTCCAGAGAATCGGTCCATTCACATAATTATCATTAAAATTTCTTGTAAACTATACAATTATATTATCAATAAGAGTTGTTGCAAAAATCATGCAATATTCCCTTGAATTTTCTCAAAAAACTAATAATTAATCATTAGATATAAAGCAATCCCTAGTTTATATCACCTTATTCTTATAGTTGAATATGTTGTATTTGTATATAGATACAAAGTCTGATAACAATAATATTGATGAATAGATGCGACTTGATTATAATGATGGCATTTGATTATAAAGTATAAAAAATGCAAAGACAGAGGAATGTATACGATAAAAAATTACTAATTCTAACATAAAAAGTAAGATTTTGCAAGTATTTGTGGAATTATCTTACATATCTTATCCAAAACAATCTTCTTTTTAATTCGATGTATTAATTACAATAGGAATCTACTTCATTATTAGAGATAATGCCAATAGTTATGTTTTTTTCAGCTTAGAAGTGACATAAATCAAATTTTGGCTCACACACAAGAAATTTAATTAAGTAACTGATTAATTTATGCGATAAATATGATTCCTCAAACTTATTCCATTTTCCAGTAAATAGTTCACATATTGATATTTCTGTGTTACATATACATTCATGATAAAACACTAGCATTCTCTCCTGCTTTAAGAAAATAAATATATAAATATAAAAAGATGAGGTTTTTTCAAAAATTCATATTTAAAAAAAAAGGCTATAGATACCATATCTCTATGGAACCTAAGTTCTAAAGCTCACTTGAGTAGAGCTCACTTATCACTGTTTATCTTCCATCAATGCTGATAATCTTTCTTCATAGTTTTCAGCAAACTTACTGTCCGTATTCTTAATCGCTGCTAATAAAGAGTCTTTCTCACGTTGGGACCAATTACTACTCCATTCTCTGAAGAGCTTTACACGACACTGGAACAAACTTGGGGGCCTATCAGACTCTTCACAGCCCAGCTTCTCCATTCCAGTCACCAGTCCATTTACGAGTCCTGGTGGACCACAATTCTCCAGCAACACACCCAAGAAATCATTGCGCTGCATCTCAGACCATTCTTGGAACCATTCTATCATGTAACGCAGCTGAGCCTCATTTGACAACATGGTAGACATGTTTTCGCTTAAAAAAACAAAAGTGCTTATAGTCAGCCATGATCTCAGCAGAAACAAAATACATAGACTTTATAATTACATTTTACAATCCCAATATTTATATTGGAGAAAGATAAATGTATATAAAATCTGTTTTTAAAGCAATATTAAAAGGCATGATAGTTTTTGGACCAAGTAACTATTATTATATTTTTAAATTTTGGAATATTCCATATGTACAATATCTTTGCATTTTAGTGCTAAATGTGACTATCAGCTGTCCATCTTTCATTGATTTTATGTGTGATTATCTGATTTTTGTACTTAAACAAATTAGATTGCAAATCTGACAGAATTTACCGTTAATATGCGACAAAGCCGACAAGTATAATCTTGGCAAACAAGACAAAAGACCTTGTTAAGGTTATAGAAATGCCGCTTGATGCGAGTGCGACATTGAATTGAGAAAATCAAAAGATTCTCGAGCAGACGGAAATTGATGTAAGCCGGAACGGCGAAAATTACCAAGTCGTGTTCACAGCAAACTGCACCTGCGTATCTTGTCTCACTCAACGACTCAACAGTTATCGTTCTCACGTAAGGCGCCTGTTATCGCGCTCTAGTCATTTATCGTAAGGTACGGCGATCCGATAAAAATGCTTCTCTCTGGGATGACACAAAGTAGAAGTAGGGGCGTATCCACAGAACGGCATTCGTACGCTTCGTTAAATCATGAATAGCATATATTTATTAATTAAGTACACGAATCTAGATCGACAATTTGCATTTTTTGGGGTTAACTCGCGCCTCTTTCTCTTTCTCTTCTCCAGCTGCCGTTTCCTCTTCCTCTTCTTCTTCCTCCTCCTCCTCCTCCTCCTCCTCCTCTTCCTCCTCTTCTTCCACCTCCTCTTCGACGTTCGAAGAAATTGATCGTTCCGTCGTTTCTGCAGAAATCGATGAAATTAGACTATTTCAAAGAGAAATGGAAAAGATTACGCCGATTAATTCGGCAATTACGTTTAACAGGTTACTTTGTGCCCTGTCGGATGTGTTTTGTTGAATCAGCGTGGTTAAACAATTGTTGACTTCAGACTGCACATCTCGTAGATTCTGCAATAACGTCTGCAAATCATTCTTCTTGGATCCAGCAGTCTGATGCTCGTAGATGCATTCCTTCCCATCGTGTATCTTCGCTTGTATACCGGCGATGCTCATCGTGCTACACGATAGATTTTGAATTTTATGTGTACGTGAAAGCGCGTTTCGAACGTACCGAAGTTAGCCTCTACATGTAGTCAATGACGGAAATCACGTGTATATTGCACACTCGGTGCATTTGTTCAAATACGAAACATAAAAATTCAATTCCTAATATTTAGCAATAAATCTTTATTTTTTTTAAATAAAAATTACAACATACCATATAAGCATTATCTAGCATTATTTAAAGACATAAAATATGCAATAATCAAATTTAACACATTAATATATATTTTAAAAATAATATACCAAAATACTAAGCATAAAAGAAAATTAAAATAGCATCAACTTACACAATATTAAAATAACTCTCACGCATATTTAATTAATATCTTAAGTAACATCATCTTTCTTAACATCCACAGATAATGATTTAAAATCTTCCGTTAAATCAGTTACAGCTTCCACATTTAAAAGTCTTTTTATCTTTAGACATACCTCTTGACAGTTTTTTCTCTCAAGTAGAGGACAAAACTTGTTATTCAAGAAATCTAAAATATTTGGTGCATTAAATCCGAGATATCTGTAATAGACCTAGAAAAAAAAATTAGTTTTAGTAGATTCAAAAATATTTCATAATCCTTGTGAGTATTTAAGCTATTTCTATATTGTTGATGTGTATTCACATATATATTCAATATAAATTGATGCATAACATATATACCCTAAATTTATTGCTCAATGGATCTAATGTTAGAGCCTTCAAAAAATATTCTGCTGCATTTGATATGTCATTCTGAATGAAATAATAAGTTATTGCAACAGATATAAGCATAGATATTTGCCGTTGTTTGACAGACTGCTCATATTTCTTCAACATTCGCAGTAAGTGTGGCAATGGTTCTAGTTCTCCTGTCTCCCAACCATATTCTATATACGCCATTTCTGCTACAAAGTTATTAGAGTCTGCAGCTTTTTTGTAGTATTTTAGAGCTTCCTAAAAATGTACCATATAGTTAGTAAACAAACAAACAATTAAAAAGAAAGAAAAATAAGTTGACACTAGAAAAATGCTAAACTAATGGAATATTAATACATAAGTTTAAACTATAAAGTGTCTATAGTCATCTTTATATTATGTTGTTATACTTACCCTAAAATCTCCACACTGTTGATAAAACATTGCAGTGTAATGCATGCATGTCGAATTATTAGGTGCCATTTGCCTCACAGCATCCAGACATTCCTTTGCAGCCATTCTTTCATCCTCATTTGAACGCAGAAATATGAGAGCTAGTTTCAATAATATTTTATAATTTTTTGGTTTTGTATCTAAAATTTTTTTCGCTGTTTGTAACACTTGTTTCTCATTAGCAGCTTTCTTCATCCAGTAATCTCTATCTCTGCTGTGTTTATAAAAACTCTCCATGCGCATTTGTAACAAATATATCCCAAATACACTGTTTTCATTAGACATAGCATATGCTAATTCGAAATGATTTTTCTCAGTCTCTGTTACATAAGCTTGTACATGTATTGAACGTCTTTGACGTCTCAGATTCTTTGCAAGAATAAAGTGCCATAAGGCACAGTCTTGATTCTTTTCAACTGCTTTCTTAGCAGTGTCAATTGCCTTATTCATACCAAAATCATTTAAAAAAGACCATACAACACTTTGACAACCGTACAAAGCACCTAACTCTTCATTATTGAAGTCTTCAATATCAACAATATTGTTTAATATCTCTTCTAAAACCATCTCTTCTAAAACATCTAACTCTTCCACATCATATAGAAAAAAAGATTTTGTAGCATAAAAAACATGTTCAACAGCCCTTATTGTTTGATGTCTCTCATGTCTGTAATAATTTTTAATGTAACAATTAATCAAGAAAATTATTAATATAAATAATTATTATATACTTTCTTGTAAAATATTATATTTTACAATGTTTATATATAAAATATTAATATAAATAATTATGTATCATACTCTTGCATCTGTATTAATAGTTCTTCAGCTTTTTCAATACTTTTTCGTGCATTTTTCTTATCTGCACTTATCACACCTTTATAAGTTTTTAATAAACATTGCATCAACAATTCTAATGCACATGATGTTTCATTCTCAACATCTTCATCATGCATTTCACCTTTTAACGTAGAATGCTTTATTACACTGTTCAATATTTCCCAAGTAAATGGACAATGTAATTTTTCAAGCTTTGTTTTTATGTTTATTTTTTCTGCTTCAGAAGATGCCATATCTTCTGATACCTGAAATTAATTTAACAATATTAGTAAAATATTCAACAAGAAGTTAAAAATAACTTATCTCTTATAATATAAAATTAAAAAATCTATTGATTTAATTACACATTTGATTCATATATAGAAATCATATACAGAAATCGATTCATATGACAAAATTAAATTTACAAATAAATTGCAATACAATTTCGTTCAGTCATAGAAACATAGCAATGTATATCAAACAATACGAACTTGTTTTACTTCGATAGTCCTTTTTCTTGATATATATCCTGACAAATGATAATTGACGTTTCTGATCGAGGTATTCTTTGTTAGCAGAATTACGTATAGTTGATCATGAAATTTGTTATTGGATATTCACGGAAATTCACGGGAATCCCTGGCATTTCCAAGCAGCTTTTTTTTTGTTTACTTATTGTGTGTGTTAAGACTTTAATTTATCTTATTTCATAAAATTTTTTAGTCCATTTTTTCGTGATATTAGTAGTTTTATTTATAATCACACATCAAACACAATAACAATAAAGTGATTGGGTTTTTGAAAACGGATCTTAAGTTAAAATCACTATTCGCCAATCATAAAAAAGAAATTGTTAAAAATATAGATCAATTTTAATAAGTAATTATTAAGCCTATCAGACTATGCATTAAAGATTGAAAATTGAAGATTAAAATTTGGCCAATCGAAACAAAAGGAACTAAAAGTTCTTTGTCCTGATTGGTCAAATTTCAATCTTCAATCTTTAATGTGTAGTCTGATACGTGCATTAGGGTACTTGTTTAGACAAACTTGCATAATTCATGTGTGTGAGCAATCATTGTTAATTCACATTAATATAATTACAAATATTTTGATCACGCACAAAAGTAAAAGTGTTCAGAACAAAATTACACACTATGGTTTTGAAACTTGGCGAAATATTAAACGGTCATAAAATATGCTCTATTTTGTAAGACTACTTAAATAGTTTAGTAACAATAAATCTATCATCCGAATAAAAACAAGACTTTTGGACAAGAAATAAATTTGTATGAATTGTTCGGATATTTTAAAGCAAAATATTATATTTAAACTTCCAAAGATAATTCTAGCGTTATTAATGTTTGATTTGTTCTATCATTCAAACACTTAAAAATTTGACTTCGAACAGTTTGTTAATATTGAACAAAATCAAAATACGTATAATTTTAGCTGAAAGCATGCATGAAACCTTTATTTTCTTCTCGTAATACATTGCTTAACTTTATATTGCAAAATTTATTTGAATTCAAGAACGGTCTACTTAAAAAAATTTTGAACAATTTTAGATTTACTAAGTAAAAAATTTGAATTGATCAATCACTGAAATATTTTGAGCTTCAATAAAAATAGTCTTTTTTGAAATTGTGCTTTGTACATACAAGTGTATTATCCGTAATATTCAACGACAAGTGTCAACGCTGCACTTCAAAACAGAAAGCAAATGTACGCAAATTGATACAATATTTGCAGTTACAGTATTCTACGGAATACCATACAATCGAAGAAATGCACACTTTACCAGTTCATATTGATACAAAGGGATAATTACGTTGCTGTTGCGCTATGTTATTTTGAAAACTGCAAGGAGGACAGCATAGACAACGATAAACATCAATTCACTGCAATGCTGCGATGGATTATCATTGTAATTTTCTAAATATATTTTTTTAAGATTACAGTTTGGCGATTGTCATGTATAGAAACATGGCCCGTTAAAAACCGATTTTTATTTATTTTTATACATTTTTGTAAATTGTAAACTAATATTACAATTGTAATAAAGTAACGGATTAAAATTAAATTTCTAATCGATGAAAATATATGTATATTCAAATCTTCCATCGCGAAAAAATCATGATTATCCAGAGATTCTTACATGCGATGAAAAGCTATATCCGTCTGAGTGAACCGGATAGTGGTTCATCGAAACCACTTTCTCCTCATGCGTCACACGCTTCAACGGTTGCGTCATTTTGCGTTATTACCATAAGCGAGAATTTTTCAATTACATCCTAATGTATGTTTCCAAGCCCTGAAAAACGAATAGCGAATTAGAAATAAAAATTGCAAACGAATACCTGGCATGGCATTTTAACGAAAAAGACTTATGTCAATAAGCTGCAACAGTGCCCACAAATCTGTAAGAGAGATTTGTAGGTCATAATTAATATTGAAAAAATATTTTATACCTACATAAATGTTTCCAAGAGAATACAAATCACACAGTTAATTTCTTCTGAACTACTAACTACGGAATACATATAAAGTAGGTCAAAAACTTGACGTGTCATGCATCTCAATAGCTCAATAATCGTGAATAAAAGATTCTAACATCACAACGAAGATTGCGTATTGCATTGCATTCTGAGAACAGAGTATGTGTGAACAGTTAAAAATCTAAAATGTAAAAATCTTAAAATTAAAAATAAATCATCTTTGTTACTTTTTACACAATTTTTTATAACTTTTAGCACTATTAAATGTGTCATATTTATATCTGCAAAATCAATCATCCATGAACAATGATATTATCAAACTCATAGATTTTTAAGAGAATTTCTAAAGACTTGAATTTCTCACAAGTATTTTATGATTAACGTGAAACATCAAGACGATGTGAACGAATAAATAATCATTAAATAGTAATCAAAATATAAGTTTTTTGGATTTATCGTCCGAGGTAATCTAACGTAAAACGTTACACAAATGCAGGGAGGAAACTAAAACGTGTTTGAAGCCCCTCCGTTCGATTTGGCCTCGGTCTCCCGGCTGTATAAAAGCTAGCAGCCGCTGATTTGTCGCTTTAGTTTTTAACTCTTGTTTGCAGCTTCATCAAGCTGAAAAAGAACTCATTTCGCTTTCACATTTATCGTTTTTTTATATTGAATCTTGAACATGATGAAGGGATATTTTCTGATCACGTTAGCTTTGCTAATAACTCTGGTCACTGCCGCAGAAAAATATCCTGAAAAATATGACAATGTAGACGTGGATGCGATCCTTGGAAATAATCGTGTCCTTACTAACTACATTCGTTGCATGATGGACGAGGGACCCTGCACTGCCGAAGGTCGCGAACTAAGAAGTAAGTGTAAGAAAAACAAATTATATACATTTGCATTAAAGAATTACAAAGATATTTTTCATTTTACTTCTCATTTTGATTAAAACTTGGACTTAATCAAATTCAATCTAGATTTTATATATTTAAGTGTAATACAAGTTACCTTCCACACTTTGATATTAATGGTTTCGACATTCTTTTATAAACTGCTATATTCTAACGTAGATTTGAGCACTTGCTCCGGATTCGTATATTAGAAAATATATGAATGCAACCAACGCAGTTATAGTAGCTGTAATTACGGCAGTTATACTCTCTCTCCATTATATAATGTTTACTGTCGATGAACTTTCTCAAGCATGTTACGTTCAGTCTTGTTTAAGTAACATCTACATCACTCCTCAGGATCAAATCAATTTCAAGAGCAAAAAATAAAATTTGATCACATTTGAGTGTACGCAAATATAAGTGTGTTAAATACCTATCAATAATAATGATTCTCTAGCTAATTTAAAATCAATTTTTCTTCAGTAAAACTAATGCGAAATTTTATTAACGAATATAAGTTATATTTGTTTTTTTTATTCCAGAAATAAAATTTAAATAACAGTTAATTATACTGCAATAATAATGTAAACATATTTTGCTTACAGAGACTTTGCCGGATGCTCTATCGTCCGATTGCAGCAAATGCAACGATAAACAGAAAACTACCGCGGGAAAAGTGATCAATCATCTTAAAACAAAACGAACCAAAGATTGGGATCGACTCATTAGTAAATATGACCCACGTGGAGAATATAAAAGGCGCTATGAGCAATAATTTTTTAGAATTATTTCAAGATTATCATTACATTTTACGTTACATAAAATACAACTTACTGAAATACACAATACTAACTAATATGTAGATGCACAATGCATTGTGTGACAAATGAAATCCGGTGAAATATGCATACAACAAATGTAAAATTTAATAAACCACTCTACTCACTGAATTAGCATTCTTTGTAGATATGTATATATATAATTACTTGTCCATATTATTATTTAAAAACAGAAAAATCCCATTAACATCACTATCAAAATCATTTCACATTATGTATTTGGTGATAAGTTTACATATTGTTGTCATTAAATGAAATCGGAAAAATATATATATTCCACTCACAAGATTAATGCTTTTTCTCAAGTAAACTTGAAATTTTATTCCACTCGTCTTTTCTTAACTAATGATCCAAGCTGAAACGAATACATAATATATAAAAATATATAGGACAATTTATATGTAACACTTAAAAACTACGTGAATATTTTATAAACGTACAAGGTCCGAAATTGCTGGTAGATTATTAGTTTGATCAGTAACAGTAGGTTCTTCACGATTTTCTTTTTGCGTGGCAGCTTTTTTCATATTTCTATGTTGTGGAAAAGTCGGCATTAATTTTGGATCACAAGCTGTAACATATCCACACACAAATGGAAATTAAAATTAATTAGATAGATCAACATTATAGTTATTGTTTTAGGAAGGTGTTTAAATAATGATTATATACTGTGATTAAATGATGATTATATACTAACGTAAAGGAGCCTCCTTAAAGTAACTACTCTGCAAACATTCTTCAGCGGTTGCTCTCTTTTTCGGGTCGTACATAAATAAGAAATTCAATAATCTAAGACCAGCAGCGCTTAACCAAGGAAATCTTTGTTTCAAGTTATTGTACGGTTGCTGTTTAAGCGTGAAATTCTGTAACGCCGGTAATGAGTTGAATTCTGGCCAAATAGCCTCGCTGGGTGTACCCAACAAGTCAACAATTAATTCTAATTGTGCAATTTCTGTTCTACCAGGTAATAAAGGTCTGTGTCCCAATAATTCTCCTAAAAAACAAACGTGATACATTATGTGAAATATTTATAACATTATAATGTTGTGTTGTGTGTTAAGATACTCTGTCTACCATTATGTGATTGAGACATTAAACAAATAAAAAAATAGTAATATAAACATAAAATTAAAAATTTCCTACCTAATATGCATCCAGCTGCCCACATATCAACAGAAGTAGTTTGCGTTTTAGCTTGCAATAATAATTCCGGTGCTCTATACCATAATGTTACTACTTTAGGAGTCATTGGTTTTAGAGGCAAGCCGAACCACCTAGCCAGACCAAAATCAGCAATTTTTACACAACCCTTGTCGGTCATAAGGAGATTAGAAACTTTCAAGTCTCTATGAACAACAAAGTTATGATGCAAGTATCGAAGACCTTTCAACACTTGCAATACTATACATTTGACTTGGCTTTCTGAAAACGGTGCTTGCATATTATCCAGCAAGCTCGCCAAGTCTTGTTCGCAATATTCCATCGCAAGAAATATACTTTCCAAGCTTCTGCCAACTACTACTTCTCTCAAATGTACGATGTTTTCATGTCTGCACGATAACAAAACTGATATTTCCCTGAGACCGCTCACTGGCAATCCATCCTTCTCATGTTCCATTCTTACTTTCTTCAATGCAACAACTTTATCATTTTTGGTATCTCTGGCTCGATATACAATTCCATAAGTACCTTCACCAATACGATTCAATTTTTCAAATTCAGAAACAAATCTGCATTTGCCAAGCTAGGAAACAAAATAATGTTATCTAACGCCATATAAACATTTATTTATAAAATATATGTATATTGAGATAAACGAGTAATCCCTTACAATATCTTGTTCTGGTATTTCCATAGGTTTGCTAGTTAGAAAAGATGTTAATACACCTTTTCTTGTGATTGGAGCTATAGGATCTGGTCCTGAATCAGCTATTGTTTTTTTATCACTGTCATTACGTTCCACTGACTTTTTCTCCAAGCTGTCGTCTAAAATAATCAAATTAGCATATACATTTAAAAATTAAATGTGGCTCTTAAGAGATAAACAATGATAGCTTGAAAGTTGCTTTGACATTTTAAACAATAATGTTTAAACACTTATCTTACTTCAATTTTATTTAAATTTAGAATTAATATATATTTGTCATACCTTTCGTCATGTTGACTACTAAATTGCAAAAAATAAGTAATTAAACAACCGCTGATGGACAAAAATCTTTAAAAACAAAATTCAGCGACACCGGTAGTGTTGACCATACAGGCATATAACATAATATATCAAGATGGCGATGTTCTACACGGAAATGCAAGATATGCTAGTAACTTAATATCCAATAAGAAAACTTTTTTTTTCTCTCTTTTATCGTTCCTCTATTGCTAACAATCTGACATTCACCTATTTTCGTTTAACAATTCTCCCCATCATCCGCGATCTTCTGTTGCCATTATGATCAGACTACACATTAAAGATTGAAATTTGACCAATCAGAACAAAGAACTTTTAGCTCCTTTCGTTTCGATTGGTCAAATTTTACGGTTACGACTAAAACTATTGTACGTGTAATGGCCTTAAATAATCTGGACAACTAATCAGTGTCTTTATTCCTTTTTCTTTCATTTGGCTTCATCCACTGTTTCTTAGGAATGTAAACTATGCATTTTATCTAGACATTTTAATATGTTTATGACATAATTTAGGCGCGCATATACCGGATATACTCAATATGGCAGTTCTAGCTGGTGTAGTTGTGTGTGCTGTTGTAGCTGTTGCGTGCTGTTGTAGCAGAAGAATAAAACGGTAGAAACGTACTCTTTCTTCAATTTTATACTACTACCTGCTTTTAATTTTATTCAAGAAAATCTTTCTCGTATTTCTGACAATGGTGATACCAATGAATACTTTTAATGTTAAAAAACTCTTCGTCAATAGTGATGAGTCTAAGGATACTCCAAAATATAGTGACGAAGGAGTACATGATCGGAAAAAGGAAGAAAAGTTAAAAGACAGTATTTGCGATGTTGTATCGTCAAATGAGGAAAACGTTTCTTATGCTAAGTGCTTTGAAGAAAATAATGATATTCATTCAAAAGAAGAATCAAAAATTTTATTTTCGGAGGAAGTACCAAATTTAGCAGCTTTTAAAACCAGAAAGCTATTTGGAATTAGCTGCTATGAATTTTCACCTTTCATTAATTTATGTTCTAAAAGGTTTGAAGATTTACAAGATTTAAAAATAAAGAAATTTCTAATGTGGTTAACGCTAGTTCTCTGAATAATCGAATTCATCAGAATAAATCTGACAATGAATCAGAAGATAAATTAGAAACTGATGCTAAGTGCTTTGAAGAAAATAGTGATACTCACTCAAAAGAAGAAGAATTAAAGGCTTTAGTTATGGAGAAAGTAGAAAATTCTGCGTGTTGTGTTGAAGCATCTAGATTTTACCACAATTCAAGCATAAGATTTGCAGATAAGTTAAGACAAATGGAAGTAAGAAGTGATGGTGAATTTGTGCTAGCAAGCAACATTGTTAATTGTCTTCAAACAGATCATAAAACTACACGTACTGTAAGTATATGAATAAATAATAATTTTATTGTCCCTTAGAGATTACAAGACTGTTTCATACATTTTTTCTCTTATACCAACTTGTATTTAATTTCTTAACGCTGCATATCAATTTAATTTTTGCTTTTTTCTACTTATATCTATTATATCTAGTGCAACATTGACTTCATTTTATTCTGAATTACGCACGCCGTTCTTTCACACGCGTGCCTTTCACTCTAATCTTAAATTTCTTTTCGATTTTTGCTTTCGTTACACTAATCCTCTTTTTTTCCCATTCTCCCTCCCTTCTCCTTTTACTATTATTTCTTTAATTTTATTATTATTTTATAATTTATAATAATATATCACATATAAAAATTCAAAGTATTAAATTATTAACACGTTCTCTGCCTGACCAATTTTCAGTGACTAACAGTTTCGTTATGCTTTATAATATTTAGACATGTGGCAAAGAATATAATGAATTAAAATAATTCTTTTTATTTTACAGTCTAATGACTATAGGGATTTAATCGATTCTGAATCTGAGAGTGAGGAAGAAGAAAGAACACATGGTTCTTTTACATCAATTGATAATGCTGTTCCATGTAGTGCCAAAAAGATATCCACTGAGAAAAAGAAGGTATTTATATTACTTTTAATATTTTTTTGTTTTTATTTGTGATAAAGTAACAAACTTTAAATAGCATTTGAAATAAAGTAATTTTTTTGTATCAATATATCTTTTTTTAAATGTGTATTTAATGCGTCACCAACCATGTAGCATTTAGTTGGTTATTTGACACTGGTATTAATATATCTAAATGTATTAGGATTCTACAAGAGTTTCCAAGCAAGAGGCAATGCGTCGAATACGTAGTGAAAGCCAACGTTTATGCAGAGAAACAAGTGTTTCTTTGCCATATCACGTACCAAAACAGCATACATTATTAGAGTTTTTAAATAGGACAAAGAAAATTCCAAATTTGTCACAGCCAGTTTCAAGAGCTGCAAGACTGAAAATGTCATCTGAAGTAGTAAGGTAAAAAAATTTATATAAACATATCTACATAGATCTTACAAAAAAAAAAAAAAGTATAGTTTAGAATATGAAAAATAAATTGTCTTGTATTTTCAACAGTCAAGCACTTGCAGAAAAAGAAAAAGAAGCAGAATCTTTTTACAAGTCCTCAGATTCAGAAGATGATACACAACAGTCTATATCTTTGGTTAGCAAGAATGTAGAAAAATCTTTTGTTACAAATGAGAAGATAGCTTCCATGACAGATATCAAACATACAGGAGAAAGTAATTTCGATGAGGAGAAGAAAAAATCAGGACCTGACTTCTACAGATGTACATTGGATGTGGTAGAGATTGTAGATAAACAAAATTTTAGGCCTCCTCAGTGCAATTCTGTAGTAAGTGACAAAAATAGAGATAACAATCTGACCGCAGAAACAATAGAAATATCAGAAACTTTTAATAATATTAATAATAAGGAAATGACTCAAGTGCTTCAAGGAGATTTTGAGAATTGTGTGACAGATGCTACTGTTACGTTTACAAATTCGTCTGGCAATATTATAACACAAGATAAAAATAATGAAGCAAAAGATAAGCAGGTTGAAACAGATTACACATCATCTTCTCATACTTTAGTCAAACAGATTGGTTATAATTTATTAGAAATTCAAGATAATTCTGTAATAAAGAATTGTCATAAGGCTAATAGTCATGTACTCGGCTTGCCGCTTCCGAACTTTATGGCGAATCAAAGAAAGTTATCAGAGTTTACGTCAAATTCTAAAGTTACATTAAAAGGATCACCAGGTATGATTATCGACTTGTCAGACGATGCAAAATCTAATACGAAAGGTGCAAATACTTTGTTAGATAGATTTTTCAGTAAACATGTTAACACAAAGAAACAGACTGACAATAAATCTGAAGTGTCTGTACTGTATTTGGAAGACACTCAGAACGGTCCCATTCCGACGAAGGAAGTACTCCCGTACAAATTTCCTACTAATACCGAACACAATCCTGAACTGGACAAACCTGGGGCGAAATTGAGGCGTTTAAAACAGAGTCTGAAATTGCAAATGAATCAGAAACGTGCAAAGGAATGGGAACAAAGAAAGGAAAAATTGCAAACGCAGGAAGAAGAAAAATGGAGCGACGAGGAAGATTTAGATGCGCAAGAAGAGAATGATATGAGATTGAGCTATAGCAGTGAAAGCGAACCCGAGGAGAATGATGTCTGCATTAAGGATAAGAAGAGGAGAAAGTGTTTGTTTGCAGATGATGAAGCACAAGAAACAGACGATGAAGGTTCAGATATAAACGCGGAGGATATATATGATGAAAGTGATACGGGTCAAATGGAATATGGTGAACGATCCAGAAGTTCTGAGCGTAAAAAAGAATATGTAGACGATAGTGAGACAGAGAGCTGCGAAGATTTTGAAGACAAAGAAAATTTAGACACAGATATAGAGGATGGAAATGTATCAGATGTTGAGGATAACGACGATCTTGATGATTGTGAAGATGATAATATAATCAGAAATGGAAGAAATAGAATAAGAACGCAATCGATACAAGAGTTTGAAGATGACTCGAACAGTATAGATCCGAATGATTTGGAAAATGGTAATCGGTTAAGAAGCCAAGCGTGCAAAACACCTTCGACAAAGACAAGCATGCTCGATTTTGTTTCACCTATAACACAATTAAGCGTATTAAACACCACTTTGGATTCGAATAAAAAAGTTTTATCGGAGAAGACTGAATATCTGATTGATGAACACAAATTTGTTTCCATGGAAAATACACAGAATGATAAGCCTTTCAAGCATGTACGCGATATTGAAAAGAAAAATATTTTTAAGAAAAAGTTGTTTGACGATACTGGAGAAACTGTCGATGATGAATATCTTATGCAATTGTGTTCAGGTAAATTCGAGTCCACCCAAAGAACTGATTTGAATTTCAAAAATTTATCCTCGCAACTCAATACCTCTGAATCGCAGTTACTTGAATTACGTAATGGAAATTTCTGCACGAAACAGGATGATATCAAACAATCGGAAAGTTCGGAGGTGAGAAATGAAAGCTCTCAAGATATAAAATTAACGTTGGATGAAGATTCTGTACTCTGTAACTCTGTAAATCAAACAACGGCAATAAAGGAAATCAGCGCGTTAAGTTCAAAACGTAAATTAAGAATTGCTTCTTCGGACGATGAGGACGAAGCGGATAAATATTATAAACCGAAAACCCGTTTGACCAGAAGATGGAATTTGTCCGATTCGGAAGAGGAGGAAGTAAACCCGAATGTGTGTGTTCATTTCTCAGAAGAAGAAAGCGAAAACGATGATGTGGAAAGCGTAAACGATGATGATGAAAAGACAGAGCAATATATTGACTACGATTCCGAAGAAAACGAGGTGACAGTTGTACCGAAAAAGAATCTAAAGAATGTTGTGGCTGATTTTCTGGAAGAGGAAGCGGAGTTAAGCGAGAGTGATTGGGATTCTGCTGATGAAGACGAAAAGGGCATGGATAAATTAGAGTTCGAGGAAGCCGATGAAGAACAGCTAGATGAATATGAAGTAAAAAATCAACTAGAAAAAATGCACGCGAAACAGATGCTGGATGAACATAAAAGAGATATTAGGATTATGAAGGAGTTATTATTTGAAGATGGTGATTTATATACCGATGGAACGGGTCGTGAGCGCAAGTTCAAATGGAGAAATATAGGTGAGAATATATATTTTTTTCTACGACACAATGATAAATTGTTTAAAACGTTTTGCTTTGTAAAAATATTCAACGTTCAAATTTCTAAAGTGTAACATTTAATATGTTAACGCTCAAATGATTTCGTTTCTAATTGTTAAATAAATATTTAAAATATTTACTGTTGTTTCTTAGATAAATTAGGAAATAATATGGAAATGCCTCAAGCCCTCGACGAAAACGATGGTTGGGTAGACGTGCAAGAAGATGAGGAAGAGGCACAGTGGAACAAACTCAGGCAAGAAAGAGACAAGTTTCTTGAAGAAAAAATGGTAATTAAAAAATTATCTAATTATGAAAAGAAAAAATGGTAATTAATAAATATACTTAACGATCGCAACATATTTTGGAAAAATATATGTTTATACATATGTATATCTTATACGGTCACAGAAATCTTCAAGCAACGAAGTCGAAGATGAGTTATGCAGTAGTCAAATTTTTAAACGCGGACTGTTAGCGCTGAAGAAAGTCAAGTATAATGAACCTCAAAAACAAGATGCTTCTCCCAACAAAAAAGATTCATCCGAAAACATGGAACCAATCATGCCGCGGAATTTAGAGGATTTCTTGAATGGACCAAATGCTGGGAAGAAATCCCAGACGATATATGTAAGATTATTACTTGATATAATACATTATATGTGGAATTAGTAATGTCTAAGATGTCGAATTGCATTTACGAGTACTCTATGAATAAAAAGCTTCGTTTCTTTGTCATTTTTTCCAGAATGTTATACAAAAACGTTCGCTTTTAACTCGAGGAGAAGAGTCATTGGCGAGAATAGCTTCATTGGCAAAGCAAAGTGATTCTACTTCTCATGCAGCAGGTGCAAAAAATTTTGTCTTTCCCTCTATTGAGCCACAAATAGATGATGACGCTAAAAATGAAAACAAAATAAAAGAAGAGGATCGGAATTTAAAAGTAATTTAATTATATTATCTAGTTTATATAATATTTCTTTTGTTACGAAACATTAATATTTTAATGCTTGTTTTTTTTTTTTAGGCAAAAAAGAGAGCAATAACATCAGATTTTTCGTCGGCAACTAAAAGACAGCGTATATAAAATTGATATTTGAAGAAAGAAAAATTATTCTTATAAGACTTTTATAATTATTCTTATAAGACTTTTTCATTAGGAATGTAAAATTTAACTTAAATATTTCAATAAGCTATTTTTTTAAGCCTTTTTACAAGTATAAGAATATTAACTCTTAACAAATGAGATGGATTCTGAAATCCATGAATGTTCTAGCAAATTTATATAATCATAGATATATTAATAATAATAATAATAATAATAGTAATAGGGTTTGTGTGTGCCTTCACATTATCAGTTAAATCAGATTTTTCTATCTCATTAATTAAGAGTTGATATTAAACGAATTGTGCTTGGTTTCTTGTATGTATACAAGTACCTATACATAAATGGCAAATATATACACACAAAAATCATAGTACAATGGAGAAGGAATGGTTTCTTTATGAAAAAGTTCTGCAACTTTCCTTTCTACCTTTTTATAAAAAAAAAGTGCGATTCTTCGTGGTTTTATTTTTAGAATGCCTTATCTATCCTTAAATAATTATTTTTAGCATCTCACATTTTTTCAATAATTATCACGTGATCAGTTTTGATATTGTAGACATAAAATTATGATAGGACGGAGCGCAAAGTGTTAACGTGAATGTTATAAAAGGAAAAAACTGAAATTTCCTTTTCTTCAGACTTTATCTTTCCTCTTTTAATCATTATGATTCGTCCTGTTATATCACGTCTTCGGCTGTGAAAGATATAATAGCCATATTTGTCGCCATTTAAAGTACAACAAGCATATAAAGAGTCATTAACAATGATTCTTAACAATAGATAACATTCTTGTATTTTACATTTCCTCTTTCTCAATGGCATCGTTTCAGTGTCGGAAATTTGGATTATCCGTTTGCCATCCTTTCGCGTTTGGTCCAAATTGATATACCAACCTTCGACCAAGCACTGGTAGAAATATTTTGCTTTTGTAATAGTACCTACAAGTAATAAATATATATATATATACATTACCAAATTCAAATAATTAATCAAATATTATTAAATTATAGTCTACAGAATGAAAATTATTACCTCATAGCTCTACTAAGCTTTTCATAAGTCATCTTTGTATTTCCTTTCCGTGAACCCCATCGTTTTGCTACTTCATCACTTTTTACGAAACGAAATTTAGCTTGTGAGTAATCTTCCCAACAGATTAAACTAGGACATGTTTCTCTATTGCGTAGTAAATCTCTAATAAATTCCCACAATTTTCCTTGACTGGTAGCTGTAAATGCAATTAAATCAACTAAATAGATGTACTCGTATGTTTTTGGATTAAATCGGAAAGTTTCTTCAGTCGATTACGACACTTACGATTCTTTTTGGTTTTTAATACCCTTGGTCTGCCAGGCAATCTCTTCGTCACGACTTCGACACTGTTATCTGACTCTGCATCTGAAAAAGTGAAAAACCTGTCAAGTACAAGAAACAATGATCTAAACGTATAAATTGCCTTCGTTGTTAATAATATTTACCAGATATGTTATTAGAACTGATTCGCGCATATTCATCTTCCGACTGCGGCTGAATGGTATCAAATGGTGGCACTGCACAAAATAATTGATGTCAATTCAAATTTGTAGCATTCGATATTGGGCATTGATGTATCTGTTAAATTCTAAATTGTCTCGATTATTTCAACGTTACAAAATTTGTCTTTAAATGACTAAAATATATTTGATATACTTATTCGTGATGTAGAAATTTTTAATTATGTTATAAAACGCATTTCCATTTTTCTTTCTCAAAGAAAGAGAAATGATATATACGTACATAAGTTTGATGTTTGTTGCGAGTGAAGAAGATCGTACAATCGATCTCCGTATATAGGATCGTGGTTGATGAAATCCTGTCGCGTAAAGTTAACAATTTCTTTCCCAGATACGGCGAGGCTGTGTTGAATAGAACTGTAAGGTTGACCCATGTATGATGCGGCTGACATAAGCCAATTTATCGTTTCCTCTTGACACCAGTTTCTAATAGGTTTGTCCGACCATCCGGTGCCGTCAATCTCCTCGCTTTCATCACCTGTAAATTACATTAGAAATCATTAGAAGTCTGCGTTTTGCATTGAGCCGCTGTTTTTACATGTTCAAATTGCGTAAATACATTTCGAATGCGAAACGCTGCTTTAGATCGATCGAACGATTAAATGCTAAAGCTTACGCGGTTTCCCATAAATCGATGCAACACGTCAACGTTAAACAGTCCCGAGAAATCCCCTCCAGTAACTATCGCTGCATTGGTAATTACAGACTCGTAGCAAGGAGCTTTCGTGAGAGTTTGAGCCAAGCGATTATTTTCGTGCAAATAGCAACTATAGCAAGTATAAATTCACTTTGCATTCAAATTCCATCGATCACCTCGATACGTAATCATAAATGCATAATGTATCAAACTTGGCGGCAAATAAGCATGAGACGATATTGCATGCAGATCAAAGTTAACATTTTTCTGTGCTTTTCTTGTGCATTACCGAGCGAACATTTCTTCTTGGCTGGTTCGCAACCGCGGCTTGTTAAAATGTTACTTCGCCTGGTGACCGAAGAATCCAAGTCGAAGATCAAACGATCATTCTCGTCTTCGGGCAAATTGGTAAACGTCAGATACATCTACAACAGAGTTCAAAATCTAACATTTCGTAAACCATATGTCGCTTCGTTTTCATGTCGAATGAGAAAAAAAGGAAATAAACATTGGATTATTTGTTATTCCATTATGTCTACACAGCATGCAGAAAAATCAATCCAAATTTAATGAAAATTTGGAATCGATTTTTTTTTACTAAGCACGAATAAAAAGAGGAGACAATGTAGAATATTAAAAATTATATATCATACACTATTCTCGATTTTTATTTCCTTTTGTTCTCATTGCACAAAATGAATATATAATATTTAATATGACGATATTAAACATTAGAAAATTCAACAAAAACTTATAAATTGTTTAACGTGAAGTGAAAAAAAGCAACTCCAACATTTGATCCGTATTTTGCAACAATCTATTATAATTTTCTCAGCTCTCTTAATATTAAATATTTTAAAAAATTATCACATGACTAGTTTTGATAATATTGTAGACATAAAATTATGATAGGATGGAGTGCAGAGTGTTTACGTGAATGCTATTAGAAGGAAAAAACTAAAATTTCCTTTTTCTCCTAATTATTATGATTTGTTTTGCTGTATCAAGTATGTCCTCGACTATGAAAGATATAGCTGCCTTTGTCACCATTTAAAGTACAAGAGTCATTAACAGCGATTTAACAAATAGAGAATATTGGCATCGTTTCATTGTCGAACACATGAAAAAAGCAATTTGACGTTCATATTTGACGATAATCGCACTTCGATAAGGAGGACAGTTAATCGGTATGCTAAAATGTTAATCACTTTAACTCAAGTTGAGTGAAATATCTACCGTATTTTGTCTAATCTGTTAGAAGAAAATATTCTTCAAAAAATATAAATGCAAATTTAAGCTACGGAATTTCTCAACTCGAATTGATTTCGATTTGATTCGAACAAACACAGCGTGGAAAAAAAGTCTGGAAAAGCAGTAGACGTGTCGATGAAATACATGTTAACATCGCACTTCTATTAGACTCACCTCTGACAGGTCATTCCTACTGTAATTATACGAATCCATTTTTGCGCGATGGCATTAACACTCTTTCACCGTAATCTTATCATGTAACAATATTTCAACGAAAACAATACTAATCAATAAGTATACTCTTGCAACAAACGCGTCGCGTTTGTCACACTCGCCACGAGTATACTTGTGCGGCGAATGGCAATTATATATACAAATGTTAAGTATGTCTCAAGTGTGAGAGCATGTAACATTGGTAATTCACGAAGAATGCACTGTCGCGCGATAACAGTTCATCGCTTTCGAGATCTTCGGCTGAGTATACGAGACTTTTTATACCGGAGATAATGTGCTCACTACTATATCGGTATCAACAGGCAGCGACGGCGTTCCCACCATGTGGTTCCCGAGCGATTGTGCACGAGGTCTTTACTCGGCGCAGAATGACGGGGAAGACAAATAAGAGACTGCAGTAGGATCCGAGACCGCGGTCGGGCAGGTTTCAACGGGGATTTCCCGCTCTGCGACCGCGGCCAATCATCACTGCTGCGCGTCGAGCCGCAATAGCTGACGCAATAATTGCTTACGCGCTTCATTGGCGTCGATCTTTTCTTCAAGCGAAAATAAGAATTTCACGTTAATTCATTATCGAAAAGTTTCAATAACAACGGTCTTGCGACAGAAGATTCCAGCGACCAACTGTATTAATTTTCACTCATTTCTTCTTCAAATGCATGCTTTCAACAGTGATAACTATTTCGAGCGAAATAAGTGTTAGAAATAAACAAAATAAATGAAATGAAGGATCTTCTGTCGTTTGTTTTGCAATTACTTGGATCAGATAGCTAACGAAATCCTAATTGTACCATTATTGCAAAATCCCATTAAACGTACAGACCAGATGATAGGATGTTTCAAGCGAATTTCAGAACGATTCAGATTGCATTCAGATATCGCAGTGAGCGCCTATGTTAAGTTTATTTATAGTACAGCATGATGCACACACTGTCATCGTGTGTACATGCCGGTACAGCCATGCTCTTCCTTATATTGTAACATATTTTTTTTGCATCGCTAATTTTTATGATTTTTGCAATGAGAAACGCTTCACATCATTTTTTGCTAAAACACGCAAGCATATGATGAAACTGTAGCAAAATCTGTATACCTGCAATCAGTTGAAATGTTAAGTTGCAATTATGATGTAAGCATGGTAATTCCCCATTTTTTTTGTATGTATTTTAGCAGTTTTCATAAATCGTTCTCAATATAGGGAACCTTGATACTTTTACCTTATTTAATTCAAGTCGAAATGGATTACGTATGATTAATTGAAAATGTCCAACCTGTTATTAATTGAATAATCGATCAGTTTGTAAATCTCTCAAGAGAGAACGTATCGCTTACGTCGACGAATAATTATACCTGGGTAGTTAACAGAAATTCTAGACAGATGTGTATGTCGATGATCACGTGGACGTAAGCACTATGAATCATTTTGATAGGTTTCGCAACTCGTCGAGGAAAAGGCTGGTTTTGCTTCTAGGAACACGGACGTCTTTGCGGTGAGATGTTCTACTCGTTATAAAAAATACAAATATATAAATACAGCATCAAGTTTTCATTATTGAATAAAAAACAAATATGCAATTGGCATTTATATAACATAAATATAAGACAAGTACGCTGAATATATTTTTAAACGGAAATAAGACGGAAAACGTAACGTTAACGGATCATTACTGCCGAATAACTGCGCATGCATTCTAAAATGATGATTGTTCATTCAATATTATTATGTTATATGCTATAATTAGCATATAACATAACAATGCAATCGTTGCTTGTTTTCTTTTTGCTTGTTGACAACCAAAAGGTAATACTAATGTAATCAAATCGGCATAAAATTAGTTATCTAATACAGGACATAGCTTACTTTGGCCTACTTTCATATCACAATCCGATTCGTGTCGACAATTTTTATCGCCAACATTACATTCTTCTCAGGAAAAGGAACCGACTTGATATAACAGCAGCGGAAGTAGCGGTTGCTACACCATTCATTTATCTATTTTTTTGCTTATGTACAATGTTATATCATATAGCTCGATCTCACAGCGAATTTGGTTGAATGTACTAGTGCGCATTGATGCAGATTAAAGTCCGTTGTATATTTTCATCTAATTGTGCAAACATAATATAACATAAAACACTTTAAAATATCTATTCTGTTAATTAGCAATCTTAACAAAATGAGAAAATATATTAAATATCTTGTAATTCAATCCGTTTATACACTATATGTATGTTTTTACACTATTTTATATACTTTATATGCTTTTTAATATGTACCAATGTGTGTAAGCAGTCAACTGAATTCGCTTTTATTAGATTCATAATCATTTATCAATCTTATTATATATCGCACCGTACCGAATTTATAGTGTTAGTAAGAACGAATGCGCGTTCATGTGTGTGAATATGGAAATGCACGAATCATATCTTGGTAGGAAAGATACGCGTTCTTATTATTATCTAGTTACCTATTTCTTATTTTCGTCGGAAGCGATTTGCGATGCCAGGTTTGCAAATTTCACCATGTAGTCCACACTGTTTTCTCCCATGAGGCATTGCATATGGGATACAACCTGAAATATCATTATCGAGTGAATTCCAAGATGTAAGAGAATAAAATAATATTTCACTTATATTTACATCGGAAGAAGGACGATCTTCCATAATTTGTTCACCCGCTTGACTTCTTTGCGAGCCTTTCATGGGCGATTCAAGCTGTCCCAAAAAGCTGCTTAATGAAAAATCCGCAACCTGCCATTCAATCGTTTTTCGATATTAATTTTTCACACGAAAAATGTATTGAGTTTATATTGTATATACTATATACAATATTATGTGACTTATATTATGCATTTATCAATTACCTCACTGTTCAACCACTGATTCTCGCCTTCTTTAAGAATTTGAGTAGCACTGGTAATAATCGAATTGGAATTCTTCGCATCTCCGCCCGCTTCTAATGCATCCAAGAAGGTTTTGTCCTGAGCCTCATTCGCATTTACCGCTATTATTTTGTCAGTTTGCGTTTGACATAATGAGGGTTCACCGATTTTACTTTCGTCAGTCGTCAAATTTTCCGATGGCATATTGGATATAGTATTTGGCGCAGGTATAATAGGCAGAACTCTCTGTATTACGAGACTTTTCTGTCTCACTGTCCTTCCTCGCTTGCTAAAGCGTGATTTAAATTTCTGTAATGCATATGTATATATATAATCAGACTTTTAAACAAGTACCATTTTATGACAATTTGTTTTTCATATTACATTGCATTTAATGTAATATCACTTACATCAAGTTGTGTTTTAAAAGCATCAGTCGTATCAATCTTATGATATGTTTGTGGAATAAGAGGTCTTCTAAATGTAGATTCCTTAATAGATGGAACTCGAGATGAAATTACCGTTTCGCTACTTCCCGATGTGTTATCATATACCTAAGCAAAGATATGTAACATTAGAAAAAAAACAACAATTATCTCGACATCGTAAGTTAAGCGAGCATTTGTAAAATATTCATTATATCTTACCTTGTTTGTGCCGTAATTATGTTTCGCCAGTGATAATAGCTTTTGTAAAACCAAACATGAACTATCGTCACGCATGGTACTCGGTGAATCGGTTGTGTACTGTTCGTTCGGTAGCCAGTCCCACCAATATTCCAAAGTAATTTTTGATTCACGACCGAACTGTTGGGAAAATAATACACAATAAATTAAATTTAATATATACAATGAAATAATGAGGAAATGTTGCGTACCATTAAAAAGAGATCGCCCACAGTAATCGTATTTGCTTCCTCGACGTTCCAACCTTTTCGTATTCTTTCGACGGTTTCTCTGCCAGGGAATCTATTGGGCTCTGAATGATGTTCCGACGATGGTTTCTCCATGTTATTTATGATTGCTGGTCTTTCGGACATGCTTCCTGTTTCTAAAAGATCCATGTCGCTACTGACATCTGGCACTGTGCAATTTTCATCGGTGCGACTTAAGATCTTTTTATCCGACTTGCTTCGTTTGATTCCTTTTTTCCCTACTCCTTTCAAATGTTGAACTGATCCCAGCAGGTCTATTCTTGAGCTCTTCAGCCCGAGGCGTTTTTCATATGAATTTAAGCTGACGCTATTGCTAGTAAGGTATTCTCCAAGATTGACCATTGGCAAGGCAATTTTACATCCTTCTGGTGGAGCCACTCGCAATAAACGAGTATCTTTTACATCGTCAAGAGAAGCAACGAGATTTTCTACAGTTGAACACTTTAGTAATCAATATTTAAGGATTTTTACCCATGAATGTATACGTCGGCACAAATTTCAGCATGTGCATATTTAGAAATAGATATATGATTAAAAAGTTATGATTAAAAGTAGCGCAAGGATACTGTCGTATATTTTGTAAGTCGCCATCGTTGCTGTAGAAATATCAATAAACTCGAGAGGCGTCTTTGTATTGGAAGAAGTGTGCGCACTCTTGGATTCATTGACACTGATTGTACTTGCCACCAAGCCGTGTTGTTGCGCGGTCGAAGTTCTATTGTTATTCTAGATGGTAATTTGATTTCTTCCTGCCAATCTGGAGCAAGGAAAGTATAAATTTTAATCATTAGTCTATTTTTCTGATAAAAAATATTCATCGATATCTTACATCTCTAGCTATCACTATTGTAAAGAATAAGCTTACATGAAAATATATATTAACTTATATAAATATGTGTGCATACAATTATTTATATTCATAAGAATAGAATATATAAATATTAACTCACATAACATTAATATTTATCTTTTATTTTATATATCAAATTTATAATTCCATTAAAAATTGATAATTTCATAAAGATAAATATTAATGTTATATTATTTATACCATGTAAATTAATCTTTAAATAGTAAAAAATTTTAATATACCTTCCAGCTGGTTTAATTTTCTAAGTGCTCTACATATAGGTGTTTTAATTCTCATAGTCTTTCCTCTGAGTCTGACTTGTGTAGATCCCCAGTACACCAATTCATTTAATCTTAAATGAACCTTCTCATGAATACGAGGTAGTTTTCTTCTAAGTTCACCATAGTTTATCAATCCATATAATTCTTGGGTGGTTTTTTTCACATCTATAAAAAAGAAATAATATATTTTGTATTTCGTTAAATCACATTACACTTGTGTGTCATAAATATTTTAAACCTTCGGAGAATTTGAGATGTTTTGATATTTTCAGCCATGTTCTATAATAAAAATGTCGAATTTGCTCCTTATTTTTTATCATAGCATCTGAAAGACCACGCTTTTTGCCTTGACTTAGAAAATAACTTTGCAATGCATCAAAATCTTTGCCGTATTCATTGAGTGCTTTAAAAAAGGTATTCTTATCCTCCATAGACCAGAGTTCGCAAGAACGTTTTAGAGATCTCACTTTAGCTTCTGTAGCTTCTTCATCTTTTACATCTATATTTAGAGAAAAAAAAGTAATTCATCATAGAATTATAGTGTGATACATTAGCAATTGATTGTTTTGTTGTACACATAATGTATAAACGTACCCTTTTTCTCGACATTCACAGGATCATTATTATCAAGCTTGAGTTTCTTTGTACCTCGGACAACGCGAACTTGTGTATTTTTATTGTCTACCAAAGATTTCGTATCAGAAGGTGCCTGAGTCACTTGAGAGCACGCAGAAGTCATATTACTCGATTCACCATCTTCACATTTTGAAGAATCTTCCATTATGCTTTTTTACCACAAAACTTTTTATCCCTAACAAGTTCAAAAACAAACTTGATTTGGATGTAATGTCGTTTAGGAATTAGGATAAATAATGAATTGTTTGCAACGATTAACGCTACAGAAGGAAGAGAATTAATAAATAAGCATGTACACAATTGCATTAACCGGTATAACTGATTTAATTCTAGTATTTCGGACACTTGTCCTAAATTGAAATCACTTGCTCGATTTTTGTTGATCTGTCACTAACCAACGTCAAGCGTGGTCATGCGTCGACTAGCTGAGCACCCATCAAGCTGCTGTTTTGCGCATGCGACACATACACATTGAACATTTAATATTTGAACCCAATGAAGTACAAAATGCGTGAAAGAGAAGCTGCCCCATTAAATTCTTTGTTTCTAAAAAATATCTTATATATTATCGAAGGAGCTCCAAAATGTCAAAGGCTTCAAGTACCTGGAAAGAATTAGAAACTATATTATTGATTGAAGGTAAGTATGCGAATGTTGATTACCTAAATTGCTGTTTTATCATCAGCAAGTTTAAGACAAGCTTATTTCAAATTCCGATAGCAACAAAGCATTGTTAAAAAGCAAAATGAAGGTAATATGTCATAATTGTTTGTTGCTGTGATCTTTTGTCAATTTATTCATTAGTTAGTCAGTTCAACTTAAGTTAACATTAGGTTAACTGCTAAAAGAGTAATATCATATTTAAAAAAATTTTTTTACGAAATAAGAAGAATATTCTAAACACAAATTGCTAGTGAATAATTTTACAATAAGGAAATTTGATCAAGTAGAAATCATAAATAAAATTAATTATTTGCATTTATTATAATACAAATTTAAATTTTTCGGTCATAAGAAATCCTTGCTTGAATAGTTATATGAATAAGATGATCAAAAAGACATGGTATTCGCGTATATTTGTTTTAACGATGCGAATATTTATATAAAAAATCTTTCAGTAATACATAATATCGCTGGAAGATGTGTGACTTAATTGCTACAACGATTCTCAAGGTGGCCGGTCGACAGCAAGTCGAACGTATATAGGACGGTCCACTTTATATTTAGATCAGTACACTGCAAGATTACATGGGGTACAAAACTCCAAGTATACAAGTTCCGTTGGTTTTCGATCATTCGAAAAATTTCTATTGAGCAAAAATTTAGTTTATTCTAATTGAAAATATTTGTGTTGAAACGATGAGATCTCTCGATATCTAACTGTCATACCTTATTTATTACATTGCAGCAAGTAAGTAACATTGCATATAGATATATGTAATATCACGCTGTACCTATGTATTCCAATTAATCGATGCAATAACTTTTCATATTTAATAAATTTATTTATTGATATTTTGCAGATTATTTATTAAAATGTATCGTTTCTTTTGGGCTGCATTGATCTTGTTAGTACTGGCTGCTCCTAGTTGTAGTATTACGCGATATATAAAAGTTGGTAAGCATTACATCCATCTTTGTCGAATGATAGTTTTTGGGAAATATATTGTCTAAATAAAAAAAAAAAGTAATTTAATATATTTTTAACGCACG